CCCCCCCTCCCCTTCCCTCTGCCCCTTCTTTTCCCCTGCCCCTTTTCCACTCCCTTCATACTGAACATGGATGAAAAGCCAACAGGAATATTTCTGAAATAAATACATATTAATCTGCCTAAACTGCAAAATAACTGAAGTTTGTATTGTTAATATTCTTATTGCTGCATGAAGCCAAGACTGCGTTAAAAATCTTGGTGCGCGCTTTTAATTATTTTCTAATTTACAGACAGCTGGCGGATAAGCTGAAAGCGATGCATGGGAATCAATGTTTTTAGTAGTTTTTTTTTTCGAAAGAACGACAAAAAACGGATGCAACGTTGATCAGCAGATGCTGTTTCGATTCCAACCAAAATTACACAAAAGTCACATTAGGAATTCAATTTACACCCTCATGTCTGGATTTTTTTTTTCTTTTCTGTACATTTGATTACGGCACTTTTCTCCTGCCTGAATATAAAGGACGAATGGCGCCCAATGCCTATTCCAGTTGTTCATGATCATGCAAGAAAGATTACATCTGAGCATCAACGCATCGAAACTGAGCTGATACAAAGCGCCGGAATAGCCGCAGCAAGATTGCGGGTTGACTTTACAGCTCAGGGATGAAACACAGCTAAGCTATCAAGTCACTGCACCCAAAGGCTTGCTTATTTGGGAGATCTAAATGGCATACTTCCAGTGTTTTCATTAATTATCAAAATTCGATTGTGTTCCCCTTCACGATGGGTGGGCAATAACGCCAAACTGCATCTGTTAACACATAGAAGATTTCAGTCCCCGTTCTCTTCCAACCCCCTCTTTGCCAGGAATATTCACTGTTTGTTTTGTAAATATTTGGTCATTGTATATAAAAACTTTATTATGTATTCGTTCCCTTTATCCCGTTTCAGTCATATTTTGGAATGCACCTGCATTCGCAGATGTTGCACTTTTGCTGTTTTTGTTTTTCAATCCTTCTTTTTTAATCCCCTTAAAAGCCCCTATTCCCATTTCCTCTTTTCACATTTCCCTTTACCCTAATTACCATTTTTGCATTTTGGTACATTTTCAACCCCTCCAAAAAACTATCACATCCTCTGTTGGGGCGGTTCTTACTCCCTTTATAAATCTCCCTACCACTTTTCGCGGCTTGGTTTCTTCTTCAGCTTCTTCGTCGACTTCAGTCTTCTTGACTGACATCATCCCCGGCTTGCTAGCTACGACTCCTGCTGTCGCAATCTTCGAACACTACTGGGACTCGGATACTTTCGTCTCGAAGCCCGAACTATTCGACCTCGGAACCCTCTTTGCTAATCCACTGCTGAGCAGGCCATCCCGTTCGTCAGAGCACAAGCGTCACGCTTTCTGTATTTACTGCTATTATCTGCGCCGTAATAAGGCATAAAACTTACCATTTATCTAATTGGCACCACGCCACACAGCGATCCACACGCGTAAATATTCATCCCATGAAAATTTTTACTGCATGTTTAAAATTTCTACAACACTTGGAAGAAGTTAACAATCTTGGATAGGAGGTAAACAAGAGCCATAAGCTCTAGCAGCAAAGTCGAGAAGCAACTGAGGCCACTTTATTTGCGCTTTTACGAATCAACAATTGCAAGTTCGTTTTGTGAACTAACCGTTGTTTAAAAAGACCCGTTGATGTGTAGTTGCCAAAATCTAAGCAA